TTGCTCAGAGGTGGGGGGAAGGTACAGAGGGACCGTTTCCACTTCCCCCTCCCCTTGTTTGTGGTGTCCAGGCTGGTTTGCTCAATGCTTTTGGGAGGCACTGGAGTGTGAAGCCCCATGCAGACCTGGGCTGCTGGGCCAGCAAACCGGGCTGCTGGGCCAGCAATCCAAGCTGCCACATCAGATCAGCTCACATCCATACTTCCCAAAGCATGCGTCATGCTTCGTTTCAGGCAGGTTTTCCTTTTCCCTCCCTGTCATGTTTGCAGTGCGCTGCAGGCAAAATTTTCATTAAGTACAGACATTTTGTGTCAGCAGGGCTTGTTTTGGCAAAGGATCCTGCATGGGTGACTCATGGGACATCTTACACAGATGGGAACCCATGGCAGGGACAGAAACCCTGATGAACCCTCTCCTCTGCAAGAGATCACTGCTGAACAGCTCAAAGCACGTGTGGCACGAGGTCTTTCACATAATCTGGTGTGAAATAATTTGCCCCTCTTCTGTCCCTCAGGAAGGTTTGTCCCTGTGCTGGTTGAGCAGGTGTCACGTTGCCCTCCCCTGTGTCCCCCACCGCACACACACATCCTGGGGCTGGGACAAACACCTCCACCATGGACCTGGGTGTCTCTCTGTACTTGAGTCTGCCACCTCCTCACCATAAGGTGCAATTTTGTTGTCAACTGATGAAAGAAAAGCTCCCTTTTCTTCACCTCCTTTTCTTCCCAGCAACAGGCAACTTCCTTCCCCGAGTATCTGTTGGGAATTTGAGCAGGAAAGCTGCTCTTGGAGGTTGGTTCCAACCATGCCCAGGGGTCTGGTCCAGGCTCCTCACTGTCATGTGGCCCTGCCCTCTGGCTCAGGTGGTGGTGATGATGATGATGATGATGATGATGATAATGATGATGATGATTTGGGAGTTTTCTTGCCCCAAAGCCCCTCTGCACAGGCACTGCCCAGTGAGCTGTGTGAGCCTGGGAGCTTCCCAAGCCACGTGCCCTCTCTCATGGCAAGCTCTAAGTTCAGCTAATTAGATGACTGGGCTGACAGGCAGACGTGTGAGAAATCAATGTGGCAGGGCTCTGTTGGAGTCTGGGAGCTCATGCTAGGACAGGCAGCACTGATGGATGTGGCTTTGCAATGTCACCTCCAGAACACGTGTCCCTCTTGGCTATTCCCTCACCGAAACTGATGGCCCTCTTGCGTGGGAAGTGCTGGTCTCTTGGGACGTCAGGGCTGGCAGCACCAGGCTTAGGCAGCACAGCCACTCCTGGCTGCCCAGCCTGGATATTGTAGCTGTGAATCTGCAGCTGAACATCCTCCAAGGTACTCCTGTGGCTCTCCTGGGCAATCAGGGGAAGCTGGCTGGGTGACAAGCTGCAGAAGTGCATCATTCCCTCTGTTGATTCAGGAACAAGTGTCTGTGCAGACAGCAGCAGCGTGCCACCTTCTCCTGGGCAAGCTTGTCACTGACTGCCCTGACAGCTGGTTGTGTGTTTGCTGTTTTCCTGGCCCACTGGAGACACCACTGCTGTCTGTGTGCAGAACTTCTTGGCTGTTCCAGCTCCGGCGTGGCCGTGGTTCCGAAAGAGAGCTGAGGCAGTGAGTGCTAGGCTTGTGGCACCTCTGCTCCTGGAGATCTGGCCCTGCCAGGAAGGGGCCTGGATGATGTCCCCTGTCCTCCAGCATGTCCTGCCTGAATCTTTCCAGAGCTGGCTGCTGATGCCCTCCAGGTTCCCGTGGTCCTTGCAATACTGGTTGCTTGTCTGAGCCAGGAGAGGGATTTCTGCCATTTCCATGAGCTAAGCAGTGCCCTGTAGATGGGGAATGGCAAGATTTTTGCAGATATACTCAGGATTTCCATAGGTGTGTCACGACTGTGCAGATATTTGGGTTCAAAAGGAATGCAAAGGTTCATGGAGATCCTCACCAATCATTCCTGATGCCATCTGATCCCTTGAGGGAAAAGGCCAGTGCAGACAGGAGAGCTGGCAGTTCCAGATCCGATATCTTCGACCCGTGCTGCACTCATTTTCTCTCCTGTGGTCAAAAAGATACTCATAGAGAAATATTTTGCTGCTGATCTCTGTCCTGCTCCTGTCACCCTGTGCCAGACTGTTGTAGCTCATGACATAGGCACCTGGCCCTGCACACTCCTGGGATTGTTCTCAGGGTGCCTTTCCCAGCTGGCATTTTGCTCTAAGCTTTGCTTCTCTTCCTGTCCTGCTTTTGCCATTGTACATCGGTGTGATGGAGATCAGGCATGCTCTAACAATAGCCTGTGTCATTTTCACATCCTTGCTGTTTCTCAAACACCATTAGGAGGTAATCCTTTCCTCCAGGATTGCAGTCTCATCCCAGGGACAAATTTGCCTCAGCAATTTTTGCTGATTGGAAATCCACCCAGAGAGCAGACTTTCCATTTGTTCTGCCTATCCATTTTCCATTTTCCCAGCAGCATTGTGCAGCAGAAACAGCAGCAGCAGCACACAAGTCTACCCAACACAGGGCACTTGCTCACACCCTGGAATGATCACTTGGAAAACTGCATAACACCACCACCTCCTGGCAGTGGCACTTCAAGTCCAGTTATTCTGCTTTATTCTGTGAAGTCCTATTGCTGCTGTATCTAAGCATCAGAGGTTTTCTTTTTTCTTTTTTCTTTTTTTTTTTATTGGCACACAGATTTATTTTTGTAAGGGAGAATTATTTTGTGGGCCTTTGAGGAGTGCCACACATGACAAGCCAGAGTACACCCATAGGAAGTTTATGTCTTGATGTCTCTGATGTCTCATCAGAATTTAAGAAGGCACCTCTCTTAATTAACTTTCCTGGGAGAGGGGGGGGGGGGGGGGGGGGGTCCTGCATTAGGCCAGGATGCAGTGTACATTTTAATGGGAGCTGTCAGGAAAATTATTGATTTTGTTAGTAATGTTTCTGAAATTGTGCCATTCTGGTAATTCTGTCAGGTTCTCTTTGAAAGCTTAACTGAGAGCATTTTTATATCCTTCATTAGTTTTTTTAATACATGATAATTTCCCCTAACTCAACAATGCAAAGCAAGATCCACTGCCTGCTCGGAAACCATTTGTCCTACGTACAAACCTATTGCAGCAATAATTACAAACTGAACAAATTATTACAGATATTAATTATAAAATACAATTACACTGAGCCGTGCTGCATTGTTACACTTTTCACAGCCATCACTTGCTCTTGAGTAAATGGTTTCATTAAAAGCATGAAGGGCAAACTTAATACACTTCTGAGTCACAGCAAACAGCACAAGAAATCATCCTGGCTGTTCCTCCGAGTGCTTGAGGTGTTTACCCTGAATGAGTAGAAAATGTTGCCTCTGCTGCCAAGTACTTGTCAGCTTAACAGAGGGGCTCTGGGTGGCAGTGCAGATGTGCAGGGAGAGGAGAATGCCAGAAATCACAGCAGCGTGGCCTCAGTTTCACTCCCCTAGAGCGTGGCTTTCTTCCATGTTTGGGTTTTCAGTGCTGGGACCTGCCAGGAGCAGCAGAACCTCCTTCATCGTATCTTGGAGCAGCCTTGGGGCTGCTTCAGGCTGTGCTGGGTGCTCATGGCAAGTGCAGAGGAGCCAGGGGTGGGCTGGGAAACATTTCTTCGAAGGACTGAGCACCAGGCTTGGGCAGGGAGGGAGCAGTGGGAAAACTGGCTCAGGTAAAAGCATTCACAGGAGGGCAGGGCTGGCAGGTGAGTGCAGGGGGAAAGCAGACCCAGCCAGAAGCAAACACAGGACTACAATCACTGCCTGGGCTTTTTGGTTGGTGCTGTTATTTGTCTGGGTTAAGATGAGAGCCAGGAGGAGGTCCTGTCCCACAGCAGTGCCAGGACAGTGAGCAGAGCCTCCAGGAGGAGCAGAGGCCATTGGATTTCTGTCTGTGTTGTCTTTGCAATGGCTTTGCACTGTAGGAAGCACCAGAGGAGCACAGGTTCACCACCCCATGTTTGTACCCCAGGTTTGGTCACCTCCTGGTGAGCAGCTTTCAAGCCAGCTGCTTCTGTGAGTCCCTGAAAAGAGCTGAAACACCTCTGTGCTAGTTTTCTTCCTCTGGAAGAGCAATTTTTACATCATTGGGTGGCTCAAGGAGCAAATCTCTCTCCTAGTGGCTGCGGACTCCTGTGAGGCTTTCAGCTTCTGTGGTGTGTGCTTGTGGTTGTGCTGTGAGCAGTGACTCTGCCTTCAGACCTGTCCTGATGATGTTCCCAGGGGCAAATTCAGCAACCCCTGGGGGATGTGGGAGGGCATTGCTGCTCAGCTCTCTAGGGGGAGAGGACTAAACCTGGAAGGCTTGGGAAAGGGTGTGCTGCTTGGAAAGTAAAATTTAAGAAGTAAAATCCCACTGTCAGTGAAGCTTTCCAGGTGCCCACCCTAACAAGAAAGGCTATTTTTCCTTTGCATTCCCTTCACAGAAAAAATCCTAACTCCAGCATCCCTTTCAAGCTCATAAATCAGAGCCTCCAAAGCCCAAACTGAGCAGCTGATCATGGCGTTGATCATGAATCTGCAGAGCCTGGGGAGACAGAGCCTCTTCCATGCCCAAGCTTGAGCAGTGCATCATGCTTCCAGGGGCTTGGTCTGTGCTGGTTCCCAGTGCTTGTGCCCGTGCAACGTGTGCCAGCTGCCAAGGGGCTGATCTATACCACAGGTTTTTGGAAAGGGACATGTCCTGCCAAGACACCTCTGGGGAAGTTTGGCCCAGCCTGGCCATGCCAGTGAGGATGGCACCTGCAGGCTGCTGGTGCCCATCCTGAGGCAAGCTTGGCCCGTTGGCTCCTGCCCTTTGCTTTTGACTGTGCTGTCCCTCCAGCCTGTGCCACCAAAGCCACTGTTTTCTGTCCACAGCCCCCTTTTCCTGCTCTTTTCACCTTCCTCCTCTACCTTCTTTTTCTTCTCCTGTTCTGCTCCCTGTTTCTCCTCCTCCCTTTCCCCTCCTTACTCTTGAATCTCTATTTCTTCTTCTCTGTTCCAGCAAAACGATATCAATCAAGGTGATAGATGATGAGGAGTATGAGAAAAACAAGACCTTCTACCTAGAGATCGGGGAGCCCCGGCTGGTGGAGATGAGTGAGAAGAAAGGTGGGGGCTGTGCTCCGGGGCTGAGCCCCGCCTGTGTGTCCCTGTCTGGCTCACTCATGTCTGGCACCTGCAACACCAGCTCACATCCCCGGTGCCTATGGAAAAGGGCAGGAGCAAGGCCACTCCCGTCCCCCAGCACAGCCTGTCCCAGGCAGCAGGGCACAGCTCGGCCAGGTGGTGAGGATGCTCCTGCCCTTGCCCATATGCCCCAGGGGGGATGTGCAGCCCCTGTCCCCAGCCAACCATCTCTGTCACCACAGCACCCGGCGGACGTGACCTGCATGCGCGTGCGACGCCAATCATGTGTTTGCCTTTGTCTTGTGTTCCCACAGGAAATTCATTACCCTTAGGGTACTTGACCGTGAGGAGTATGAGAAAGAGTGCAGTTTCTTCCTTGTGCTTGGGGACCCGGTGTGGCTACGACGAGGAGTGAAAGGTGTGAGAGTAAGCCCAGAGCAGCTCTCGAGGCGCTGCCGCTTTCTCTGTGTCTCCCTACTCTCACACTCCTTTCTCCTCGTGCTCTGGCTCCTGGCCGTTTTGCCCTCCCTCCTCTGAAGCTTGGCCACTGCACCTTTTTGCTCTGTTTTCTTTCCTCTTTGGTTTGGAGAGGACTCCATCCCACCCCAGGGAGCGAGGAGTGCTCCTGGCAGGGATTGGGAGCGTCCCCAGCCCCCAGAGACATTTTGGGAGCGCTGCCCCCGCTGCTCTTCATTTAATCAGAGAGAACATCCGGCCTCGACAAGTGGAAAGGGCAACGCTGCATCATTTTTATCAGAAGATAAAACAGCTTTCACTTGAGATAAAATGCATGGCCAGAGCAGTAATTTTAGCCTTTTTATACTGGCACTAGGATCCGAAAATAGACAAAAATCACAGCCCAAGTAGGTAATATCATGAGATGCAATCAGTTTAGGTAAATCAGGTTATGCTCCAATGAAGTTTCATGGCTCTGCGTTGGATAATAGCTTCTCATAGGAATAATAAAAACAATTTCCTCTTTCATCACATTTCTAAACCAAATGCCAAACTTTCCAAAAAGACAGAGTTCACCCATTTTCCCATGGGTTTTTTTTTCTGCTAGAAAATTAAATGAGGATTCATGGCACACTACTGGTGGCTGAGCAAGAAGCACTTTTAGAGTTATTTAAGAGAGGGGCCATTATTAAAACCTTTGCAGAAGATTTGGTCTGTCTGCTGTGGAGCTGCTTTCTAGTTTCTGGGACATCAGCTCTCCCTCCAGCAGGCGTTAGGCTGTAATATTTATTTGATAGAACAGAGAGGGCCCTCAGTGGTCCCCACACTGAGTGGGAACATGCCACGTTCCTCTTCAGCTCAGGCGCTAAGTCAGCTGCATTGTCCCCTCCATCAGCTTCCCTGCTGGAGGTGACTGCCTAACAAAAGCTGGGCTAAAAAATCAGACACTGGCATGACTCAGGCACTGCAGGTGGGGTCTGTGTCATTAAATGGAGCTGGTGGCATCTGTGGAGCATGGACAGTGCAGCCAGGATGAAGTTACACATGGACGACTCAACTCAGCAGCTCCAGCCTTGCCCACAGGGGCCAGTGTGGGCTCAGCCTTGCAAGTCCAGCAGGAGCAAACGTGCTCTCCAGATCCAAGGTTTTAAAACCAGCTCTGGAGATCCCAGCTGAAATTTTTGTCTAAAAATAAAAAGAAAAGGAAAAAAGTTTCTTATCTTCCTGGTCACTAAGATAACTGGGGAAACCTGAGAGAAGATCAGGCTTGCCAGCTTGCTAAGTGGAAGGCAAGACAAAACTTAAAGGACTGTTTAAAGCAGCTATTTGCTGCTTTGGCCATGCAATTTTAATTTTTTTTCTTTTCTTTTAAACTTGTTTCCTTGTACTTGGTTTGGTACAAGAAGCAGCGAGGCAGGAGGAGCAGCATGCTCAGAGACACAAGGGCATCTCTGAAATGCCACCCCTGGGCTGTGGTGGGGCCCAAGATCCACCAGGGCACTAAGGGAGAGGTTTTTTCTTTCATTTTGGAGATCTAAAATGTTGAGCAACAAGACCCTTGAGCCAAGCCTTGCCACAGACTTTTCTTGTCTCGTTTTCTGTGCCAAAAGCGCAGCTGCTGCCGGAGCCATTGCTCCCATCAGGCAGCTGGAGGAGGTCAAAGCCAGTAGCTGCTGCACATGGGACATCTTGTGTCCCCCCCCCGGGGCAGAACTGCCTCTGAGACCAATGGAAGATCTTGCACATACAATTCAAAGGGGAAAAATGAATTTTTTGAAGTGTGTCTTTTAATCCCATATCCACCCCATGTTTGCAGTGGTTTTTATTTTAAATCCACAATCCCATGAAACATTTCTGTTTAGCGTCTTTTTCTCAACAATAATGGTATCCTGCAGCTTTACAGATCTGAAATCTGTGCCCTGGGATCTGGTGTCTTTCTATGGATATCCCTTTTGATTTCATTTTTCATTTACTTTTCTTCTTCTGTGTTTGTCTCTGTCTCCTTCACAGCCCTGTTGTTGAATGAGCTTGGTAAGCGCATTCATTTTTCCTTTCCATTTTTCTGGTTTGCCTATCGTTGGAGGACAATCGATTTTGCTTGATGTTTTTCTTTGCTCACAGCATTCTCTTTTAGGGTGGTCAGCACTGTTTAAGTGAGCTCAGGTACCTAATGCCCCATCTTTTCTTAGAGTAGAGCCCCAAAGTCACCAATACGTAGAGGTGGTGCAAGGAGCATTTTTGGGGGGGTGGTGCTGTTACAGGCAGAGTAAACTTGCCAGCACCCTGAGATACAAACCTGTGCCACACAAATGAATCCATCACCTCTAAACTGGAGTGGCAAAACAGGATTTCCTGGCAACTGAGGGATGCTTGTAGCTGGCAGGAAAGTTGGCCAATCCTTTTTGAAGCGACAGTACGAACTTTGCCTCCTGCCTTGGGGAGACTTAGAGCCTAAACAGCCTTTGAGTTTCCTTGCTGGCCACCTCCAGGATGGGGCAGGTGGGCAGTGGGCACCCTGGTTCCTCACGCACCCGTAGCCCCAGGGCAGGCTTCACCCCTTCCACAGCATATATCAGACACAAGGGGTGGCAGCTTGCAGATGTGGGTTGAAAAGCCTGTGTTCAGGTCTCCCCACACTGTCCCTGGGGTGTGTGGTGGGGAGCAGACCCCATGTCCACAGTGGGGCAGGGAAGGGCCACCATGTCCGTGTTGATGTGCAAATGCTAATCCTCATTTATTCTCTCTCTCTCTCCCCGTTTTTCTCATTTTTGGTTTCATCTAGGTGGCTTCACCATCACAGGTATGGATTTGTACTCTTCCCCTGTCCCCCTGTTCCTTTCTCTAAATGGCCATATGCTCACCCTGCTCTTTCCTCTTGGTCTTTCTCTTTGCTTTTGTTCTGTCCTGGAGGGAAACTCTGGAAGGGTAAGAAGGCTCTGAGCCGCGCCTGGACGGCCGGTCCCGTTAACACCGTGTCCTCTCACAGAGTGCTCTGCCTGCCACACACGCCTAACCCGCCTTGGGGAGGGTGACTGTCACCCCCGAAGCCACCACAACCCCTCTCCATGTCTTGGAGCAGGGTGGGCTTCTTCGTTTGGCCCAGGTGTCCCCGCCCTGCACTCAGGGCTGGCTCCTCTGGCGTGAGCCAGCCCAGCTTCCCTCCTTCAGCCGAACAACACGGCATGAGAAGGTCCTGGGTCCCACACATTGCTCCTCAGGAGCCCTGGAAACATAAATTCAGATTTAGGAGGCTCTAAGGTGGGTCTCTTTGGCCTGCAGGAGGAGAAGGGCTTTCCCTCAACTCCGTGCCACCTGAGCAGACAAGGGGCAGCCAGCAAGGGAGCAGCACTAACCCCGTGTGACATAAGAATGGAGTTTACTAACTGCACGGGGACAGCTGGTAGAGTGTGTGCAGACCCCCTGCTGATCTCCTGCTGATCACTTTAATAGGCAAACCTGTCTTCAGGAAGGTCCAGGCTAGAGATCATCCTCTTCCTTGCACCGTGGTCTCCATCCAAGGTACCTGTGGTGTGGCACCATGTCGGTCTCCTGTGGGCTGACTGGGTGTGTGCCTGCTGACAGATTAACTCCAGTCCTTTTTAGCCCTGATGTTCTTCTGCCCATCGCTCAGGTGGACTGGAAGGGAGTTCACTGGGGTCTGCACAAGGGACAGTGACAAAGGGCGTGCTGCCTGTAGTCCCCATGCTCTAGAGGTTGCACAGATGGCAGTGGCGCTGCAGACCTGCTTCACTGGTCTTGTAGTCCCTCTTTTAGAGAGTGCTGCTTCCTCTTTTAGGGTTTGGAGCCAGGCATTGGCCTGTGGATGGCTTCTTACATCTGTGCTCTTCCCTCCAGCCCCGCCATCACAGCAGGCATTGGCTGCCAGCCCCCTCTCCAAGGCAAAGCCCTGCTCGGAGGGAGGCAGAGCCAAGATTTCATCTGTGCTCAGCCCAGGGGCTGCTGTCAGAGCTCTCTTGCTGTGACAGGCTGGTGGAACTGCCCTGACTGTACCTCAGTGCAGGCCTGGAGTTGGGGAATGGAGCAGCCTTAGTGCTGATCTTTCCCTTTCCCAGCAGCCCCGTGGGACAGGCAGCAATTACCAAGCAATAAGCTATTCCCCAGCCCCAGGATGAGCAGGACTCCTCCTGGATGAGTTGCTGGATGAGTTGCAGACCAAGATCTTGGTAGCATTTCATGCAACTCTCTTTGTCTGTTGCTCCATGAACTCCTTCTCCGCTGTTCTGTCGCTCACGCTCCCACCCAGAGGCCTCCTGACCCCCCCCTCTGACAGGAGCCAGACCCAGAGCGACCAGCTGGGCCTGGTTCACCCCCGGGCTCTTTGCTTTGCAGAGGAGAATGAAGAAAAGCAGCCGCTGACCAGCAAGGAGGAGGAAGAGCGCCGGATCGCAGAGATGGGGCGCCCAGTCCTGGGGGAGCACACCAAACTCGAGATCATCATTGAGGAATCCTACGAGTTCAAGGTACTGTTCACATCCTGCAGCCCTGTTCTTCCCCCCACCATACTGCTTTTGTTAGGGCAGCTGCAGAGGAGGGAGGATATCTGTAGGAAGGTGTAGAGGAGGGAGCACTGGGAGGCACATGCTGATGGTACTGGGGCAAAGCGAGGCAGTGCATGGAATCACACACGAAACAGGAACTGAGGTCCCAAATGCTGCAGGTTGCTTTAAAACGTGACCCTGTTCTCACAGTGAGTTCTGCACGCTGGTCCTACTCACAGGAGCCTTGAGTGAGCCCCAAGCCTGGCACTCCCAGTGCAAAGGGCTGATAACCCCAAATGCAAGTAATGCTTGTGCAGCTCAGCTGCCCTGAATGCACAGGCCAGGCCAAGAGCTGAAAACTGGCCATTTCATTATCTTTTCAATTTTTCTGTAGTATAAAACTGTAACAGGCCATCCTTACTGTGGCTCTGAGATGGTTCAAACTCCCATCCATGAGCAGGTTTCCAAAGGTCTTTTTTAGCAGCAGCCAAAGAAATTGCAAGTACTTACATTTGGGTCTCTTGAGCTTAAAACCTGCTGAGCTTGTTCCATAAACACGTGGCCATAAGCAGTGGCACTGGTGGGCTTTAGCCCAGTATCTGCAGCCCCTGATTCTCTGCTCTGCCTCTCCATCCACAGAACACGGTGGACAAGCTCATTAAGAAGACGAACCTGGCCCTGGTGGTTGGCACAAACAGCTGGAGGGAGCAGTTCATTGAGGCCATTACTGTCAGCGCGGGTGAGTTTGGGCCACAGCTCAGGTGAATTACGATCACCCTCGCTCGCAGCTCGGCTTGGCTGCATCAGCAGCGCAGACTGTAGTGGAGCAGCAGGAGGCAGAGCAGGTGGCAGAGTTATTTACAGCGTCTGCATAAACAAGGCAGCTGATTAAAGCCTTTTGTGAGAGCACTTTGCCTCGTGTGTAGGAAACCTTCTGCGTGAAGCGTGTCTGTAGCACCAGGCAGAGCAACACCTTGGCTGGCAGCAGACGGCAGAGGGGAAAAAGTCAGTTCAGTGGGAGAGATCTGGGAGGTGAGCGCAGTGTGGAAATTCAGAGTGGCATAAATGAGGCTGGTGTGAAGCAACAGTGCTCCCCTTCCCTGGTTCTCCCTGTACCTCTGTGGTGAGGACAACGCAGTAGTGAGGGTGCAAAGCCTCACTGTGCGCCCAAATTTTCCCTTGACACGCCCTGCTTTCTGGAACTCCTGCTGCCACAGCCAGCTGTGGCTGGAGGATTGGGCTGCAGCCCAATAGCTGCAGCAGCACATCGTATCTGTGGTTGAACCAGATCCTGTGTGATCTTACCTTCCCTCCCTTGGAGAATTGCCTTTCCCTCAAATGCCTTGTGGTACCGTTCTCGCAGGTGCCAGTGCCGTGTTTACCAGTACAGGATATTTTATCATTCCCATATATGTGGAAGAAGGAAGAAAAATCTCCTCCAGATGTTTTTTTAACAGCTGGAAACACTATTACTTCTGGCTGGATGTTACGACCTCACAGCCCAGCCTAGGCTGTGTGTGCACACATGAGGGCAAAATCAACCAGCTTAATTTAAATCCCTGGGGAAGACAATTACCTCTCATCTGGCTAATTGTGCACTGAAATGCATGGGGGAGTGCTCAGCCTCCTACCTCTAACTCTGCCATACAAGGTAACCTCTGCCAAGCACCATGGAATTAAAAATGATGGCAGTACCATTTACCCTCTGCCTCTGGAAAACAAGGGCAGGACACTGTGCAGCAGCTTCCTCCTCAGACTGTGATCCCTCCTCTTGTAGCACAGCTCTTCTCAGAGCCTCCAGGCAAGAGCCTCCCATTATTTTGGATTCAGCCTGAACTTATCATGCAAGACAATCCTTGCTGCAGGTTTCGTAGCTAATATGGCTAAACTAATCTATGCCAGAGCCAATTATGTAATTGCATCCCATGTTAAAGCAAAGATAGTCACTGATGGTTGGATGCCATTTCTGTGACCCACATAAAGACTGCAGTTATGTGGAAACCCTGTGCCCCCATGTCTTGAATATACAGCTATGATCAGAGCTAACAGAAGATTAACAAGCATTTAATAAATGGGATGTATTTTGGTGGACATGAGCTGTCCCTTGCAGTTGTGGATCTCAGTAGTAGTTTGAGCTCTGGAGGTACCCAGGCTTTAGCTCCTCAGGCTTTGTGCCAGATAAGTTAATATGCCTTAAACACTGGAGGCTGGGTTTGAGTTTTTTCCCCACAGCTCATGCTGGATACCAGGTGAAATCCCAGCTGAGAAAAGAAACATCAAACCCCCATTTCCCCACAAGGATCAGCTCAGGGCAGTGTTTGCAGGGCGGTGGAGCAGCAGAAGGTGAGGTCTGTGGAAAGGCAGTGCAGGTGCAGGCAAGGCTGTGCCACGCTGTGTTGGGCCGTTCTGGGCTGTCCAGAGCCTGTCACTCAGCTCTTTTAGTCTGTACCCAAAAGCTTTAAACTTTCTTCCACAGCAAAAACACTCTGGGGCTTGCAGGCCTCTTTCTGAATGCACCCCCGGGTCACCACCCAAGGCCACTCTGAGTTTCAAGTCACCTCCACAAGATCTGGCCAGCCCTTCAAAAGAGAGACATCGTGGCTGCTTAACAAAATACTAGGCAGATCTGGATGGGTGTTATGGCAGTGGCACTCATGATCATTTTTCAGTCTGTTTCATCATCTCTGTAAAGATTCAGGTCCATAGCAGTCCTGATGGCACCCTGAGCTTGGCAGAGGATTGAAATACCTGCTGCAGAATTACAGCATGAGCACAGCATGGTGTATCCTGCCATTAGCAGCCTTTGCACGTTGCAGGAAAACACAGGCCAACATAGACTTTCCAGACTGGAAAACTCTTCCTTATCCTCACAACAATGCACAGGAATGGGTATTTATATCTACCAAAATAATGACGCTGATTAGCTACTGTTTCTGCCATAGTGAGTTTGAAGTTCCCAAGCTTGCATCTTGCCATTGCTAAGGAGTTCTTGCAGCAGCCATGCAGGGATACCTGGTGGTCCACATCCTTGGTGGGAAAACAAAAAGCATCAAAGACGTGGAAAATCACCAGACAAAATGCAAGGGATGTCTTTAAAAAGACTTACAGTGGCCTTGGAATCCCGAACATTCATGACTTAGAAACTCATCCTTGTTTCTTAAGGGCAGCAGGAAATCTCCCACTGACTTAGTTGGAAAAGTGTCACCTCCCCTTCAAGTCTGGGAGTGGTTCCAGCGTGAGCAGGAGGAGTTTTTGACTCTGCCACAGCAGGGATGTTGTGCACTGCGCCAGGCTGGGGAAGCCCCATGTTTGCCATGCAGCCTGCCCGAGGCACAGGCTGGCCAGCAGGCTCTCCAGACAGCTCCTCAGAGCTGCAGGACTCAGGCAAGGGGTCACCAGCCCCAGTGGGCTCCCTGGTGGGGTCACCCCCACCGTGGGACGCCCTGTAGGCTGGATGCCAAGTGGTTTTGCAGAGACAAGTGAGGATGCCTGGAGCAGGAAAGGGAGTCCCCACTGAGCCAGGAGAGACCAGACATCAAGGAACAGGCAACCAGAGCTTATAGAGAAACATGTGAAGGGGCAGGGAAATGCAGCAGGGAAGGACAAGGACAGCCAGCAGTGATTGAGCAGGGGGGCATTAAGGCAGGCAGAAATCCATTACCTGATCCCTGTTTGCAGCAGAGGTAAGGTGAAGCACCAGAGCAGCTCAGCAGCCATGAAAGTTGGCTGCCTTTCCAGAGAGCTGGAAGCAATTGCAGGCACTTGTGGAGAGCAGCTCAGAGCAGTCAGAAGGGGCTTCCCTGTGGGAGTCTCCACGAGGCAGGCCTTGCTCTCGGTGGGTTTGCCTGACCCAGTCAGCTCCAGCCAGCACGAGGTTGGTTTCTTCCCACTTGAGCTCTTGAGCAGGAGCTAAGTCCCAGAACGCATCTGATGGTTAAACTCAGGCAGTGGTGCTGGCACGAGGTTCTGCATTTTCTGAAGTGCAGGTTGTTTTTTTAAACCATTGCCTCTGGGGTGTGTCTCTGTGCTGTGTAAAAGGGCAAGGAAAGGCCATCGAGCAACTCTGATGATTGCTCAGAAAATAAGATATTTGGAAGTCAAGGCCTTCCAGGGCCCAAATCATGAGACACAGAGGTTTGGGGGCTGCAGTTTGCACAGGAGCTTTGCGCAACCTCCCCCAGGACGAGCAAATCTAATCAGGCACTGCTGGTTTTCTCCAGGGGAAGATGACGATGACGATGAATGTGGGGAGGAGAAGCTGCCCTCCTGCTTTGACTACGTGATGCACTTTCTGACCGTCTTCTGGAAGGTCCTTTTTGCCTTCGTGCCCCCCACAGACTACTGGAATGGCTGGGCTTGCTTCGTTGTCTCCATCCTCATGATTGGCCTCCTGACAGCTTTCATTGGCGACCTGGCATCCCACTTTGGCTGCACCATCGGCCTGAAGGACTCCGTCACTGCCGTCGTGTTTGTGGCCCTGGGGACATCGGTGCCAGGTAAGCACAGCCACGGGCTTTGCTGTGCTGGGGTTGGGGTTGGGTTGGGGTTGGGGTTGGGGTTGGGGTTGGGGTTGGGTTGGGTTGGGGAGGGCTGTGCTCTGCAGGATCCCGAAGCACAGGTTTGAGATACAGATAGAAATTGGTTTTCAGTCTCAGCTGGGCTGAAGGATAGAACCAGGATGTGGGTTCAGTCCCATGGGAATCATTTCAAGGACCATCCCACTGCAAAGACTGTGAAATAACTGTTTCTGTGGGCAGCCTCCATGGTGTCCACTTTCAGAGTCAGAATTGGTCTTCAGTTAAAATGCTGCCTGCATTGGCAGTCCTGCATTTTAAGCATCTTCTGCTTTTGCCTTGCTCCTGCGTGAATTAAGTGTGAGTCCATACTCAGAGCACCCTTTCCAGCATGGACACCTTTGTGTGAGGCCGGGTTCAGATGGATCAAGGTGAGGTTGTTGAACTGGGCCAGCTTCTTGAAATGCACCTTGTGAAGCTCTGGGGATTCCCATGTCAGGTTGTGTAAGAGAGCCCGTGCCTTTCACTCACCTTCTGCCATGGGCTGTGCTGGGCAGGCAGAGCCTGATTTCTGGACAAGGGGCTCTGACCACCCCAACCATCCTTTGCATCAGTCACACCTTCCCTCACCACCTTCAGACATCCAGTTATTGGCACTCAGATGCTCAAAGATCCTGAAATTGCCCTAATGCTAGCAAAGCCAAAGAGAAGAAGCAGCCAAACCAAAAGAGAACATGTCTGGGGCATGGAACAGAAGGAGCAGCATTTTTTTAGACCTCTGGCAGTAGAGGCTTTAGCAGAAGTTTTGCAGAGCTTCTTCACATGTTTGACAGTGAAAATCTTCCCTCCTGCTTTTGCTGGCATAAGGTGGCATTTAAGAAGTTCTTTTTTAGAATACATTGGGCTACTCTTCAGTTTCAGTTGGCTCCCAGGCTGTGCTGTGTTAGCTGGTGCTGACTGGGCTCCTCCATGCCTGCTTTCCAGGAGATGGGCAGAGGAGGGTGCAGAGAAATCAACACTGACAGGGATGACAGGGACCTTCCCTGCATTGAAAGCACAGCTCGAACTTGCAGAAGTGCAGGTGGTTGCTTCTACACTCATCCCTTCTCCCCCAGTGGCAGCTGCAGATGCCATGGGGGCATCAGCACTGTCCCACAACTCTATTACTGCACCATGATCAAGGTGCATTTCCATGGCAGCCTTTTTTTTTTTTTTAAATAAAGCAGACTTGATTTCTTTGCTGCAACTGGACCCTCTAGCTGTGCTTATGTGTGCTCATCCCCTCCTGTTCCATGGAACTGGATCTTTGTGCCAGGCTGCACTTTGCCATCTCACCTTGGAGCCCGCTGAGGAGGAACAGAAAGGAAATTCTGGAGAGTTAAAAAATGTGAAATACGACCTCCTTGTTTTCTTTTCCTGAGCCACACTGGGCTGCGTGTACCCAAGGGGATCTGAGAGTGCAGAAATGTTCAGGACTCATCTTCTCATTGTTAGCTGAGAGTGCTCACCTGAACCAACCCACAGGCTGATTCCTCCTGCTCTTCGTTCCCCCTGCAGATCCAGAGTGGGTTTGGATGTAAAATCAGCACTTCCCTGTGGTGCAGAGCAGTGTCATGCTGGTCTGCCTGGCACAAGGCTTTCCATTAAAATGGCCAGCCAAGTTTCATCACTGGTATTAAAGCTGGCAGAGCACCTAGGCAAGCGTGCACCCTCCCACACGGTTTTTCTTCCCAAGGGATGGAGGATGACCTGCTTTACCAAAGTGTCAGGGCCTGCACAAGGCACTGGACTTCAGGGAGGCAAAAGGTGCTAGAGGCTATACTGGGGGAAGCCCTGTATTTCTGACCACTGACATTCCGCCCTGTGCATTTCCAGACCCTAATGGTCCAATAGAACCAGGTGGTCCCTCGATTTCCTGGAATGTCCATTAGAAGGGGCTGTACCCTATCCCTTCACCCATTATTTTCTTTCCCCAGGAGTTGCCAGTGACATTTGTCCCCAAGCTTGCCTCTTTTCCTGGGTGTTTCTTGAGGGTTTCTCCCCATCTTTGCTTTGCAGACACATTTGCCAGCAAAGTAGCAGCAACGCAGGACCAGTACGCAGATGCCTCCATCGGGAACGTCACCGGGAGCAACGCTGTGAACGTTTTCCTGGGCATTGGGGTGGCCTGGTCCATCGCAGCCATCTACCACGCGGCTCACGGACAAGCCTTCCAAGTCTCCCCTGGCACACTGGCCTTCTCCGTCACCCTCTTCACCATTTTTGCTTTTATCAGTGTGGGAGTGCTGCTCTACCGGCGGAGACCCGAGATCGGAGGTGAGCTGGGCGGGCCGCGGACTTCCAAGCTGCTCACATCCTCACTCTTTATCCTCCTCTGGCTCTTGTACATATTCTTCTCATCTCTGGAAGCCTACTGCCACATAAAGGGCTTCTAAAGGGACAATCAGAGATAGTAAATATGTGTATATCTATATATATCTATATAGAGTGATATATAGGTATAGCTATAGATATAAAGCTGTGTATAATGAACAGAGAAAGAATAAAAGAGATTTGCCATGTTCACACACCTGCTGATGGAAAGCGGCTTTGGAGCATCCTTTGAACTAGGCAGGACCCCAAAGCCGGCAGGACCCTCCCCAGGCAGCGGCCCCAGGCAGGAGCCAGGGGCAGGGCCCTTTCTGCAACTCGACAACAGGAGCGGCCGATGGCCTCCGAGCCCCTTCCACCGCTGACTCCCACCCGCCGGCCCCGGGAAGAGGATGTGAGAGCGACCGGGGTGCGCCGGTGTGAGGAAGGCCAGAGTAGCTGGTGAGAAACAGAGCAGTGGGCAAGGGAAGGAGAGGAAAGCCAGGGTTCCGATCTCCCACCGCCATCCAGCTGCCTTCGCCACTCGGGAGCAGGCCCTCGGGCCCTGCTGGAGAGGAGCGAGAGACCGAACTGAAGACAAGGGGAAACTGGGAGCTTTCTAAGGATAGAACACAAACCGTTTTCGTCATTGATTTGGGGTTGGTTTTTTTGTTTCGTTTTGGCGTGTGTACAACTAGCATCTCCCACCCACATGCCCCTCACCTTTCCCTGTCCATGCTTTGGGGGTGCACAGCCGCAGCCTCGTGTCCCGTGTCCCGAGCCGAGGCTGCGCGGAGCGGCGGGAGCCTTCCTCCCACTCCTCCGCCTCCTCGGGCATGCTGTCGTGGTACTTGTAACATTTGCATGAATGAAATGAAATCTATCTGTATATAGCATCCTATAGCGATAGTCCTTCCAACCATGTGGGTTGAGCATTGCAGATTACAAGCGTTTTCTTTTCACTGGGTTTTATTTATTTTTAGTTAGTTCAGTTTTGCCATAGGGTTTTGCTCGTTTGTTTGTTTGTTTCCTCTTAGCGGGGGTGGAAAGGATGGAAAGCTGTCCCCACTTACTGCTCGTGGCGTGGTTCCATGAGAAGCAATAACAGCCATGCAGTTGTAGGTTTTCAGGGGAGGCAAACCCACACCCCAGAGACTTCAGGCTCTGTCCTGCTGTGTGGATGGGGTGCTCTGACGTGCTGAAGGCAGCGTGAAGGCCTCCTCTGCCCACAGGAGGTGTTACACGAGGTCCCAGGGAGTGGGTGAGCAGTCTGAGGGGAACAAGCGTGGCTGACTCCCAGCACCTCACATGCTTCTGCCTTTCAAGTCGGTGGCCTCGAAGCCCTTGGCCCCCTGCTATTCCCTGTACCCCCAGAGGTGTAGTGACAGCCCCTGTTTCTGAGTGTTAAGCCATCAGGACCAGTCCCCAAAGCTGGTCCTTCCCACAGCCATTTGGAGGCAGAGTAATCCCACGTAAGGGCTGAAGGGCCGTACGAGATCTCCCACTCCACGGAGCATAGCCAGGACGCATCCCCCAGGAACAGGTTGTGTTGTGCACTCTCCAAATCTGAAATCACTGGACAGGATGAGACAGGGAGGTGTGACTGAGCATCACCCCCCTGGTGCCAGGAGTGCAGGCTGGGGTAGAGAGCCGAGCCAGGGAAATGTGGGTGTAGAGCTCCCCGTGGAGCAGACACTGGGCACTGGTGTTGAGAGATGTCTCCTGACCCAATGGCCTTTGCCAGGCTTCCTGACATTCCAGCCAGGCAAACTCCCAGCCTGCATGTCCATGGTGAGCTCTTCCCACTCAGCTGAAAACCATGTCTGATGCTTGTACCATAACCAGCTGGCTGGGGGTATTTGTACTCATCTTGAGCTATCTGTGGAAATTTTAATTAACCTGCTGTAAGGTTTTCTCTAGAAATATGAAGTTGTGGGTTTTGGTTTTTTTTTCTTCTTGAGCCTTTTTACACTTTTGATTTGTTTTGGGGCTCTTCTTTTTTGTTTCTTATTGTTTTGGGGGAAAATCAAACACAGGTGCAGGTTGTTCAGGTTTATGATTACCTTTATGTACAATGATTTCATTTTCATCTGTTTGGCTTCATTTTTTCCTTCGTGTATTGCCCACCACTATAGGCAGTGAGTCCACTAATTGTGATGATCCTTATCAATGGTACACAATGCACAGAGAAATAAAGTTTGTAATGATTCCTGATGGATCCGGTACTGCTCCTGCATATTCTCTATGGAAAACCCTTCTCTCCCCTCCAGCTGTTTCCCCTTCGTAGCCATCCTTGACTCATTGGTTTGCCTTCACCGTGTTTCTGCCTCTGGCAGGGGCAGTGGTGCCTTGGCATGGCCGCCCCTGCTCCATCCCATGCCCTTCCTCCCTCTCCATCTCCATGGTGCCTCAGGCTCGGTGTGTGCTGCGGTCCAGCCGGGGCTCACAGCTCAGGGGGATGCAGGAAACCACCCAGGGACAAAGCTGCAGGGCAGCCCACCCTGCTGGGGCCGGGAGCTGCTCCTGTGCTGCGTCCCTGGCCAGTGCTGGCTTGCCCCAGGCTTGGGGAGAGCCGTGGGTGAGCCCCCAAGGTGCCAAGCAGCTCTTCCTTCATGTGTCCTCTATGGAACTGCTCCTGCTCTCGCTACAGCCTCACAGTGACCCGTGCTGGGTTAAGCCAGCAGCTAACTATGAGGGAGAATGCAAGAGGTGCATTACCAGGGCTGGGTCCATGGGTGCCAAAGCAGATCTGAGACAGCCCACGAGGCTGGGCTGCTCTCAGGAGGTGCCTGCCCATACCTCAGTCCAGGTGCTGTGGACCATTTCAGACCCATCTGTGTCTCCACACAGCTCAGCCAGCACTGAGGAGGAGAAGTCTCCCCATGCCCAGGGATGTTGCTCTTCGCTGTATCTCATCCAGCATGCTGAGCTGTCCCCAGATAAACCCTCCCTGCAGGGCCTGGGAGGTCCTGCTCTGAGAGCTGAGCTCAAGCACCAGCCCTGGAGATGGGCCCCGGGCAAGCCCTGCCTTCCACACGGCCCAGCAGAGAGCAGGGCCGGCGCTGCCCATGTGCCTTTCCAGGCACCCATTGTGAAAGCCAAGCAGCTCTTCTCACCCAGCCATTGCATCTGCTGAAAGGTGATGGTGATTTCCCCTCGTCATTTGCTGCTTCAGAATGAATTGCCCTGGCTGAAGTAATTAACAAGTCAAATGGGACTTGTGTGGCCACTCAGGTTAGCAGACACTAAGTAACTCTTCTGCTCACAGGGCTTTCCAAAGGGAAGGATGGAGCAGTGCTTGCTTAGGACAAGGCCTAAGTCACGGGCTGAACACCAGCCCTGTCCACACAGTTGCTGTGTGCCAGCTGTGTGCTTTTGGGCACCTTTACCAGGGCTGTGCACAGTGTGACCTGAGTGTGCCCAGTGCTCGTGGAGGGGTCACGGGGCAGCAGCAGGGGATGTGCTGTTCCCAGGGGTGCCAGGCCTGCCCTTCTGCACAGTCTCCTCTTTCAACCACACTCTGCAAAGGCAGAACTGTCCTCCCGAGAAGAACCAGCACTGGCTGGCAGTGTGGGAGGCAGCAGGAGCAAGAACACCCCCGGCACAGTCACGCCTTGTCACAGCTCAGCGCCTGGACCCCTGTCCAATGCCAGAACTCTCCCATCTCTTCCTCATCCAGCCTCCCACCCTAGCCTGCACGGCGAGAACATCGAGCATCTCTGATAAAGGCCTGGGTTTATGGGCGTTGTCAGAAGCAGCAGTTCAAGCCCTTGGCCTCCAGCATTTCCCTGCCCCATTTGCTCTCACGCCTCTCATCACCCCACCAGCCGAAGGCAAACCTTTCCATGGAAAAGGACACAGCACACGTCCAAAGGACATTCAGAGACAGGAGACACCCAAATAACTCCACAGGCCGCTGCCAAGCACGTGGGGACAAGCTGAAGGAGCACACTAGTGACAGCCCAGCCATCTTGGACAAACCATACTGCCAGCTCTCCAGGGCTCAGCGGGCGGGAAGGCAAATGCCAGTGGCAGCCCGGCCGCTCAGAGACGGGCAGAGGAAAAGGAAAGAGCCGCAGTCCGCAGCACCGCGTGGCTGAGCCCACCCGGCTGCCACCTGTGCCAGGAGCTGCTCAGTGCCAAGGTGTGAACCCCTCCTCCACCCAGACGAGCCTCCTGCCCCCGTGGCACCCGTGCCAGGCAGCCGTGCTGTCCCTGGGGCGAGGGGCAGTCGCAACATCCTTTGTGCTTCTTCATCCCTGCCCCCTGAAAGGACAGAGGGGAGAAGGGAGGCCTGGAGCCCGCCCTGGTCACGAGCCTGGCCCTGAACTCTCTGCACTATTTCTGCTGTGGGCAGGGCCTGGGGAAGCAGAGCCCCTGTGTTATTGTTACAGCTATTTTTAAATTCTCGGGTAAGAATCGTCGGCGTTGGTGGCCATATACATAACTCAGGAGGAAGTTCAACCACATTCCTGGAGGGACAGAGCTGAGCATAGCCAGAAAGTGACAGAAAACTTAATGCTGGACGGTGTAATTCCAGGACAAAGCCTTGCGTTATTTTCTGTAAGCTTTGGCACCCAATCCCACCTGGAGAAACGTGTTTGCAGAGCACCAGGGACCTCTCTGGCCTCTCTGAGCATGCAGTGACCAACTACTGATGCCTATACACGTGCTCAGCACAGCTGTGGAAAAGCCTGTTTATCTTGTAAAAAAATGACTTGCACAGGAAAGCATCCAGAGGCGTCCGTATTCTTGCAAAAAGCGCCGAGGGACAATAAATACACTGAGATTCCTCACCTTTTAAGGACTTGAGCCTTTCTGCTGTTGGAACTGGAGGTGCCAAGAACCTCTTGCCAGCCAGCAGCACCCCTCCCACGGAGGGAAGGGACACTGCAGGGGAAAGGGGCCTGCCTGGCCAAGCAGGAGCTGTTACCAGCAGAGACAGGCAGGAGCTTGCTGCTGCCAGCAGGATCTGCTGCTCGTGGGGTGCCCCGAGAGCATCCAGGGAGTCTCCACAGGGCCTTGCTGTCCCTCTGGCACATCTCCAGAACACCAGCCCTGCCCCTGGGACTCAGTGCCCCCAAGGGGAGTTCACCACCCTCTCCTGCAGGCTCTGCACCGTCCCTTGGCTCCCTCCCCTTTCCCAAAGGGAATGCCACCTTGGGGCTGCCCTCAGCACAGCGGGCAGGAGGGCACTGAGGCACCCCCTGTTCCCAAAGCAGGTGCTGTGGAGCCCTGCTGGAGCTGGGTGTTCCAGTGGGATGCCCAGCACCGGAGGGCACGGGGAAGGGACAAGTGGCAAGGGGTCCCAGATGCAGAGACCTTGTTCAAGCACTGCCACAGCATGTCCCCTGCCCTGGCTGCCACGGGCACGGGCATGCACCTCGATTCCTGCACAGACACAGCACAGCCTCCAGCTTCTCTGGCTGTCCATGGGCACCAACCCCAGACAGCATTTTTATCTCTTTGAGTCAAACAGCCCCTGGTCTGTTGCTCTGCACCAGGAAAGCTTTCTGGCCCTCCCAGTACACAGCCCGCCCCAGTTCAGGCGGCAGTGGGAAGGACCATTAGTCATCCCACCTGATGTCCTCCACCTTCTGCCTCGAGCCATCTCAAGGTCCCAAAATCTACACTCTGTGACAATCCAGCTGTGGCTTGCTCTGTGCTTGCCTCCCCTGTGAAGCCTCTTCATATTCCATCTTCTCCCAAGCTCCCTGCAGAGAAGCATCCTGTGTCCCTCCCTCCTGCCCCACAGCTGGGGGTTCCCTGCGTGGGACAGATTTCCTTCCTCACTGCGCTGACACTTGTTAGCTCAGCCTTGCTGTTTGTGTCTCAAGGCAAAGATGAACCGGCCCACATGGATCTGAGCCCCTAAAACCAAGGAGTAGGCAAACTTCCACACAAACCACACAAACCCTCCTGCTCATCACCCAGGCACAGTCACAGCCACTACCCACAGGCACAGTTTTTATTGTGCCACTGTCCTTCACTCTTTAGTCTGTGGAAGATTTTTTTGCCGAATTTCCACCATTATCAAGTCCCACAGATGCTCCAACTCCACCCCCCAACCCAAACATGCCTCTCTGCTTCCAAAACAAACTAATTTGCTTTATCTGTGGGTTCAAGGCTTTTCTGCCCTTGCTTGAAATGGGCAGTTGAAGCAGAGCAAGTTGCAATGGCTTGGGTTGCTTATCCACACTTGGAGCTCCTAAAGCCTTGCAGCATATGGGAGACTGCCACAGGGCTCTCTCCCTGCACCTCCTGACCTCTTTGTGGAGGTGGGATTTATTTCTCCTCCATTACTTCCACCTCAGAGGAGTGTCTACAGATGGGAGGATGAGACCTGCATGGAACACAGCCTTGCTCTGCTTTCCTGGTGGAAATTTCCTGTCCATGGCACTGCCATCCCCAGGAGTGTGTGCCCCTCTGCCCCAGCCCACAGCCTCTGGCAGGCTCCTTACTCGAGGGGTGTGGGATTCTGGCAGATGAGCTGCTTTGCAGAGATACTTAGAAACATGCAGAAATTCCAAGTGCCCATGAAATTGCTGGGCTGGCATGGGTGAGGTTGGATCCTGGCAGTGCAAATGTGTCCAAGAGCTTGTTTGGGAGCATTAGTGGAAGGTTTCACAAACCAATAGCTTTGTGACTCCCAGGGATGTAGGGAGGTGCACAAGTGGATTTCTGCTTGTTTCCTGTAATGCTGAGATGCCTCCCTGGGCTTCAGCTCCAGCCCTGTGCCCTGCCTGGCCTCTCCTTGCAGTAGGACCTGCGGTGAGCTGGCCCTTGGCTGAACTGCCCCTGCTCAAAGGAGAACAAACTCATGCCTGTTTGTGTCTTCATTCGCTTGCCCCATGTTGCCTCCTTCATCTTGCGAGCTCTTGAGAAAAATGTGCCCATGCAGGGAGCCTTGCAGGAGCCCTGCTTGTCTTGCTCTTAATCAGGAAACACACTACTTTTTGCAGCTCGAGAGAGCAAAAGATGGCAATAATATCTCTTGCATCACAGGCACTGTGTTAGCAAGGAGGAAAATGTTATTTATTTTTTCCCTGACAATACTTATGCTACTTCTTTTTTCCATAATGCATTAAGCATTAGGAGGCACAGCTCTGCACACAGCCCAGCTCTCAAGACTACCTGTCGAGGACATTGCTCAGCAATCCAGCAGTTTTATTTGTGGACAAACGGCAGAAGGTGGTGCATTCTCCTAGGATTCCTAGCTCCTGCTGGAAGACACGCAGCCCTGCTGGCAAAGCCCACAAAACATAGATCAAGAGACAAGAGGGCACCGAGCAGACAGACCACGTTCCACCTCCCACCCCAAGGACAAGCCCACAGGATACTGCCAGCAAAAAGCAGCCAGACTGGCAGCAGTGCTGGGGAACCTTCCCATCCCCAAGGCAGCAGGTGCCCCTTGGCACTCGCTCCCACATCGCTGCAAGGGAGCGGCTCAGCGGCTCAGCATCCCACAGGCACAGCCAAAGGAGCCTCCTGGGCTCCCTGGGCTTCCTCCTGGGAGCATCAGCCAGAGAGGCCCGCAAGGAGTGGACATAATATTTCAAAGGAGAGATAAATGAGATGAGAATTAGTTAAAAACCCCTACAGTCGGGGTAATTTAGATCCATCACTTGTTTTCCGCTGTAATGAAGTGGCTCAATTACCTTGGTGCTTGAGTGACCACTCCATTTCTCAAAAGTCATTTCCACACCCTTGAACAATCTCCTCCTCCTTCTAGAGTAACCATCTCAGAAAGAAACACATCTTTCTTGGCAGAGGTGTAATCCATGTCCCTCAGGAGTGGAGGGACATTCAGGCAGGGAGCTGCTGGACACTCCCCACAGAAAGAGTGTCCAGCTGTCCCAGAGGTGCTCCCCACAGCAAGAGTTCCCAGGACCAGTGGGATGCAGGAGGGAAGGAGCTCAAAGTGCCTCGCTGGGCCTGAAAGGTGGTGGGGACAGCTGGTGGCTGGATGCAGCCTGTGAGGGGAGGCAGGCAGCAGGCGTGTGCTGAGTCTCCTCACGGGCACCCCATGCCAGGGTGGTAGCTGGGGACAGCACTGCCAAGGCAATTTGTCTTCTGGGATTTTGGATGTGCTCCAGAAGGAATGGCTGTCGCTTTCCTGCTCTCCTCTGGCAGCCACCAATGTGCCCCTGCTCAGCAGCCCAAGGGGAGCTCCCCTGGCCCCCGGAGCAGCACGGGGCAGGCAGGCAGGAGGAGGCTGTGACCACCCTTCCTGACGCACCCAAAGCCACCTGCCACCGTCATCCTGTCACCCATCACCCTGTGTGTGTCCCCCTCACAGCCACAAGGCACTCTCGGGCAGACAGACGTCTTGTGCAAACCTTGACAGAGAGAGAGAGAGATCTCTGACAGCCCAACCAGCCCCCTGGTCCCCCAGCAGGGACAGGGCAGGCACACCCCGGCTGGACAGAGCCAAATTATCCCAAAGCTGGGCTGAGAGTTTGCAGGAGAGCTGGTTTGCCTGGAGAGAGAAGCCAGAGCATGGGTCACAAATTGAACTCCCCCTTCCCTCTGCCACCTGCGCCGTGCTTGGCCACAAGCTGGCCCTGCCCAGCTGGTGCCCTGAGCTGAGGGTCACCCCCGGGCTCAGGGCAGCTGGAGCCCCCCGGTCTCTCTCTCTGTCACAGTTCCTCACAAATTCAATGGCACAATGCAGCTACACTATTTGAAAAGCCATAATATTTGTTGGTACGACTCTTTTATTACTGTCGATTTATATATATATTTGTTGATAAAAGAGGTCATCTTGGGAGACACTTCCAGTCTACTGGGAAATAATTGTCCGATGCTGTATATTCTGTACATGCTGTATAAACAAAACAAAATATGTAAATCTCAGTGTTGGTGGACTCGGAGGCAGTGCTGCAGGGGGATTGGGACCAGCGAGGCCAGCGCGGCTGCCAGCGGAGCCCCGGCCCGGGGCAGGGCCTGGCCACGGTGCACGGGCAGCCTGCGGCTCCCTCGGTGCTTTCCCCACGCAGAACGCTGGCCGAGGGCATTTCACTCTGCCTCCCCCCAGGGTGGCCGGGGCGGCCTGGCCCGGGCCCATCGGGGGCTCGCAGCACGCCCGGGCTGCCGGCCGCCCGCTCCCAGCCCGGCACGTCTCTGAGCCCGGGCTCCGAGGGAGCCCCTTCCCCAGGGAGGGCGGCCGGTGAGGGCAGGGACCGGCTCCGAGCATCTCCAGCTCCTTCCCAGCCGCCCTCCCTGCCGGGCTCTCCAGCAGCACAGCTGGGACCTCCTGACCCGACACACGCCGTCAGAAAACCTGTTTCATATTCTCCGTGCTATCAGTCTACAACTTTTGAAATTATTGGACACAGTCGTGGTAGCCTAAAAGTTGTGCTGAGCTCATATATTTTTATATTTGTGGTGTTTTCCTATCAATAGAGAGTAGTGAACCCTATAGCTGAAAGTGAACTATTCAAAATAAATATATGACTGCAGAAAATATTTGTAAAAATAATTTATTTTAAATATTCTGCCAAAGATAGCTCTCTAATGATCTGTAAGATGTCGTTTCTCTCTTTTTGCTCTGAATGTCATTGTGAAAGGACCTTTCTCCCCATATCTTTTGAAGATTTTTTTTTTTTTTGTATCTTTAAGGGCAAAGAAATACTCCAATGATTTTTTTACTAGAGCAGTAAATAGAGTAGCAGGGAGGCACGAGAGAACTCTGCAAAGGTGATAAACAGGATCCAGTAAGAATCTGAGCTCCGGTTTCTCCCGTAGTTCCTCTGGCTGACAGGGCCAGCTGTCCAGCAGGAAGACCTTGGCTGCTGCTGCTGCTGCTGTGGCTGCTGTGTGGCTTACCCAAAGGGGAGAAATCTCCCGAGAATCCCTTCCCCAGCCCTGGGGCATTTGGAACCCCTTGCACCCAATCTTAGCCTCTCCATTACGTGTGGGCACCATTTATTAGCCCTGAGCAGGCCCCGTGGCACATGGGGAACCCTCACCCAGAGCTCTGTGGGGCTTCAGTCCAAAGCCATTCCCTCCCTGCTGCTGCCAGCAGCCCTGAACCATGGCACAGGGAATCCTGCTGGCATCCAGGTCTGTCCCTGCCTCACCTGGGGACGGGGCAGGGGACACCCGGCCACCAGGGCACACTTCAGCAAGAGGAGCCATCCCTGCAGGTACCCAGCTAAAACAGGGCAAGTACAGCCTTTTACCATGGAGAAGCTGCCTAGACTAGCCTTTGAGAAATGACTAGGGTTATTTTTTTTATTGTAGAGAAAATCTTCTTTCCCTTCTTCATTTCTCCCTTTTGAAAGAACTTTTCAATACTAGGGAAAGCCTTCATTATCTTCTGTGATCCCCAGGTCTCCTGCAGTGGAAATAAATCCTCAGCCACCTCCGTTAGGCTCCACCACTTCAAAGAGATTTTTGGCTCAGATTTTTTTCTTTCTGAGCAAATTCACAATTTCTTAAATGTCTTGGTCATAAAGGTCTGGAGGAATTAATTGGTAAAAAAAGGAATCAAAGCCCTGTTCCAGTGAATGTGTTTCCACAAGCAATTCAGCTTTTGATTCCCTCAAGGTCAGGCACGTGTGTAAGTGTTTTACTGGGAAGGGAGGAGGGAAAAGCCGTTTCCAGGCCATAGGTGTGATGGGTGTGACGGGAGCACTGCTGCCATGGGGCGTGGGTGGCACACGGGGAGAACCTGCCAGGGGTCTTGTTCCTCTGGGCTCCCTGAACCCGGGGCTGTGCAGCTGCTGCGCCGCAGGGAAACGCACGCGAGCCAGGGAAGACAATGGTGAGAAGAATTGGGTTTCTGATCACTGTGCATTTTGTTAATTAGTGAATTCAAATAGTTTTATTTTTACCAAAAACAGATAATCTTTATTCCAGTAAAGACAACTGTTGACTTGAGATATATATAAATATATATATATATATTATTTGAATGGTTTATATCCTGTTGCTCTAACTACATAAAATGGAAACATGTTGCAAGTTGTGTCATTTCAATATACAAAATAAATGACTTTTCCCTGCATGCTGCCTGGGTATGTTGTGATTTGAATTAAGAGTTATATTTGAATTGCCTTATTCAAGAGGTTGTATGTTACCTAACTGGGGAATGACCTGGCACTGTTCATCACATTACACGTGTACTCGATGCTGTGTTTTGTCAAATTCAGATGAGTTGTCTGTCATCTGTGTATTTTGTGGGAGATCTTTTATCTTGTTAAACTGTGATATGTAAACCTTCATTGCCTGAAATAGTCACAGTTGTATAAATCAGTGTCTTCAGCTGTTTTCCTAATTTTAACACAATTCCTAACACAAAATATAGATGTTTGTAAATTCTTCATTCATTTGGTCTGTTTTTATGTATGAAGCTTTTTTAATCCGGCAAAGCAGTAAGACAAGGCAGCTTTCCCGGAATTTTTCAGTCAAGGCTCAGCTACATTTCTCTCCCTCGCCAAGAGGCAAGGACCGATTTGCAGCAGGAACAATTGGCGTTCGGGCTGCGTTTATCGCTGTTATCTCTCCCGGCCCGGCGGGCCACTAAGGGGCGGGACGCGGTGATGGATGACGAGCCAGCCGTGCGCTCCCGCGGCGACAGCGCTGCGGGACCGCGGGCGCTCCGCTCCGCTCCGCACGCCTTCCCGGCCCCGCACGCTGCGGGGAGGGAGCGGACGGGTCCCTGCAGACACACTCGGCTGCGAGAGCAGACCCCGCCAGGAGCCCCGGCCTCTCCCCGCGGCCCCCGCCCGCCGCTGCCATCGTTCTCTGCCGCCGGCACCTTCCCCCTCCGCTCTCCCCGCGGCCCCCGCCCGCCGCTGCCAT